ATTGAAGAATCTGCCCTCTTGTTGGTTTTCAATTGAGGAAATGGTATTTCATTACAAGGATGATGCCTGTGGAAGTGCTTGGACAGGAAATGGCACTCCCAGTATAGTGTCCCATAGATTCAAACTGCATGGCCAGGGAGGAATTTAGGACTTTGCAACACATAAGGACTAAGGATCTTTACTGAGACTTTTGTCTGCAGAGAGTGTTTCTGGAAGGATGCACTGGAAACAGGTAATGGCGGATGCTCTCAGGAGGATGAAGTGGGTGTCAAGGGTGCAGAGGAGAGAAAGGAAGTTAGTGCTCACAGCATATACCCTTCCGTAGCTTTGAATTCTGAGTCACGGACATGTGTTACTTACTCATAAGGTAATAATAATTTTTAAAGAATGGTATCAAACCCACCAATAGTAAAAGAGCCTGTAAAAACAGCCCTAAATTAGTGAATCCCAAGTTTCCATCCTCTGACTTAGTCTCCGCTTGTCTGTGTTGCAGTAGGAGTCAAGGAAGAAGAAAATGCTGAAGTCTACAGTGAGAGCTTTAATTTATTTCAATACTTCTCCATTTCAACCCTTATTTCCAACAACCAGAGGCTTCTCCATCTGAAGGTCCCAACCGCGGACACCACAAAGACAACATGCCCCAATCCCGTATCCTCTTCTCCCTATTCCTTCCCTCTCCCCTCCGGGGAGGACCCTCCTCCAGTATTCTTAGTCATTATTAGAAATAGCTACCCATTCAGCTTCCCAGTCTAGAAATCTCAGCACCACCTTAGGGACCCTCCCCTCTCCTTACCCCCATGATTTTCACACAGGTGCCCTCTTGTCTTCTCCCACTGACCTTTCCTAGTTCAACACCTTGTAAACTACATTCCTTCACTGGAATGTGAGTTTCCTGTCTGCCTTTCTATCCAGTTCATTCTCCACACTTCCCAAGACCCAACCTCCATCATGCTTCTCAAACAAGACAATCTGATCATGCCTGAGAACCTTGGATAACTCCCTACTGCCTACATAATTCAGCACAAAGGTCCTAGTTTGACAAGTGACGATTTACACTAAGGACTGAAGAAACATTTCATCACTAATACATAACCTGTGCTCTGGCCACTCTGGTGTAATGAGCCTTAATCATTTTTGCCCCTTCTGTGCCTCCACAACTTTGCACTTACTATTTTCTTTACTTGAAAGTTTTCCCTTCCCTCCACACCCTGCCTTATCCAAAAAAAGAATTTCCTGCCCCCCTTTCTAGAGCCCCATGCAGTTATGCCTCCTGTGAAAAGCCTTTTAAGACTGCTTTCTCCTCTCTGCTCCTCTAAGACTTTGTACACAGCCCCATTATAGCCCTAACCACAGTCCTTTATAATTATTTATGTTTCTATCTCCCCTGCCAGAATGTGAGCTGCTTTAAAAAACACCTGCTATATTTTATTCATATTTGAATCCACTGCATCTCCTTGCTAGCATTGCACATAAATGTTTGCTGAATGAATTGGCTGAAAGTACTTTGGTAAAAATGTAACACATTATCCCAAAATTTTATAGACCTCTGTGGCTAAAATCTCATTTCTTTGCCCTCTCCCTCTGCACACCTATTGGCACGCTATCAGAGGTCTCAGGGGGGCCAGGTATTCAAAGGGAACTAACAAAGTGCCTACTATTTGTAAACAGGGCCATTTGTAAACCCTCTGGACTAGATTTAGAGATTGCCTTTCTAACTCTGACAACACTCCTTTGAGCCCTCATTCCACTCGAAGAAGCATTTCTTTTCCAAATGTCTTGAGTCCTATAAGTAACCTTTGTTTACCCTGAAATCACTTTCAGGGAAGCTGAAAAGAGCTTAAAAAAAATAATAATGCAGTGACTCTGCAGGGACCCACCTGATCAGTGAGCCTCATGCCCACCTAAAAGGAGGAGGGGTCTAGGGAGGCTCAGCTGCAATCTCTGTCCATCAGCTACTTAACTGATTAAATCTCCCAGGGCTCTCGGCTCTGAGTGAAGTCCATGGCAGCCCATTAATCACAAGATTATTTAAGTAAAGCAGCATCATAAGCAAAGTGATACCCCAGCGGCCTGAAGAACAGTGGTCTTTTGGGTTCCTGGACCCAATTCCAATAAATCCATAAACACGGAGCAATTCTCTGCAATGTCCTACACTTTAACTCAATTCTGACACTATCAACCCAGAGAGAGAAACAGATTCCTCAGGTTAAGAGTTCAATCCTACAAGACTGCCCTCCCAGGCCACTTCAGGCCCCACTCACAAGTCCAGATTGTCACCTATACTTTGGATCTACTGGCTTTAGATTGGAGGTTCCAACGACCACTGCCTTGGATCTCAGACACCAGTCATAATCCGGACTGTTACCTATGCTTCTGACTGACTGGCTATAAATCAGATGTTTCCATGGCCCCCTCCTCAGGTTCGATTAATTGGATAGAGTAGCTCACAGACTCAGAGAAACATTTTACTTACCAGATTACTGGTTTATTATAAAAGGATACGATATAAGATACAGATGAACATCCTGTTGAGAAGTGGGGCAATGTGTGTGACAAGAGTTGAGGAGCCTCCCAGAAGCTCTATGAACTTCATCCTTTTGAGATTTTATGGAAGCCTCATTACACAGGCGTGATTGATTAAATCATTGTACATTGACAACTCAGTCAACCTCCAACCCCTCTTCACTCTCCAGAGGCCAGAAGGGTGGGACCGAAAGTTCCAATGCTCTCATCACAGGGTTGGATCCCCTGACAATCAGTTCATTTTCTTAGATAACCTAAGGGCTCTCCAAAAGCCACCTCATTAATATAACAAGAGACAACATTCTCTCTCTCACCAAGGGAACTTCAAAGGTTGTGGAAGCTTTGTTCTAGAAATAGAGACAAAGACCAAATATGTGTTTCTTATTATAAATCACATTATTACAAATAGGTGACAACTTAGAGTAAGATTAGGGTTAGACATCATTTGAATAGAGCCCGAGGGGTCTTCGCTTTTGCTTTTCTCACTCCACCTGGAATGCCCGCCCCTCACTGGAGATAGTCTGGTCACCTCCCAAGAGGCTGCCCAAAGACTCAACCCAAAAAAACATTTCACATCACTCTTCATTTCCTCACCCTGCTGTATTTGTCTTCACAGTATTTTTAGCACTTCATAGCACTTGTACCTGGTACCATGTTGTCTATCTATTTATCTCAGTGACTTCCAGCTGGTATGCCACAAGAATTTTTAAAACATGCAATACTTGACTATTTACTCAGGGACACTGACCTCTTTTCCCCCAGATTGTTAAATTTAAAAAAAAAAAATGATAATGGCCAACACAACAATAGCTACTTGGTGTGAACAAATCAAAATTATACCTACTTTTTTTTGGTCAAATCAGCAAAAATATATTTCATGGTGTGCATTGGAATTTAGTAATTAGTTTGTATGTGCCATGAGATGGAAAAGGTTGAAAATCACTGATCTCTCTGCTTATCTCCTAACCATTGTCTCTCCTGTTCTTCCAGGAGGGCAGGAACCTTGTCTTGTTCCCAGAGAACCCAAGTACATAGTTGTCTTCCAATAAATGTTTGTTCAATTTTTTTAAAGCACAGAAAAATATATAATTCAGAGCACTCAAGTAATTTATGATTTCAAGGAAGATGTAAGACACAGTTTAATATGTTAAAAGATAACATGGTTAAATACGTGTAACAGATGGAAAATAAGGAGGGTAAGTGGCAGGTTTTCTGAGGAGGGAGTGATTGTGCCTAGGATGGGAAGAGAGTATTTCAAAGAAGATGAAAGTTGTGTATACCTAGAAGGCAGTGGAAAATTCAGTAAGTTCAGAAAAAGGGCCCAGGGTGTTTCACACTGAGAGACTGTACAATGCCAGGTGTCCTGAGGACGATCATTAACAAGAAGAGGTTCACAGCTTACCCTCTGTCCCCACCCATGACAGAGCAGCACAGCATCATCACTTGCTTCTCACTGTGCTTTTAGCCCATCCATTGTCCAGGGGAGAAAGGTTAAAAGCCCCAAAGATGAATTTCTTGCAGAAAGCCGACAGAGCCAAAGAAGAATCACAAACCCTGCCTTCACTGTGTTGCTCCATTGGTTGGAGCATCATCCCATACACCAAAAGTTTGCAGGTTTGATCCGTGGTCAGAGCACATAACCTAGGCCACGGGTTTGATCCCCAGCTGGGGTGTGTTCAGGAGGCAACCTATTGATGTCTCTCTCTCACATTAATGTTTCTCTCTCTAAAATCAATTAACATATCCTCAGGTGAGGATTAAAAGAAGAAGAAAATGAAGAATCACAAACCCCATATGAATCTAGAGGTGGTGGGTAGGCCTAAGGGAGCATCCAAGAAACTGGGGCAGCAGGGAGATGATAGCTCAGAGTTCTGAGTTTGGGGGTGATGTAAAATGAAACGAGAGGGATCTGTGATAAGAGTTGCCGTGCATATGTAACCTGCTTAGCATGCGGGAGCCTCCTCATGAGAGAGGCACGTGTATCCACTTTTACTTTGCTCCTCTGTGCCTGCATCTCCTCATCAGTAAAAAATGGAGATAATAACAGTACCTACATGGTAGCATTGCTATGTGGGTCAAATGAGTTGAGGAGGGTAAAGACTGCAATGTAGAAATTATCCTTATTATTGGACTTTCAGAGTAAGCTCTGCTTCTTCCGATGCAACTTTGTCCTGGCTATATGGACCATGGCTTTATAAAAAGTATATGTGGCTTAAGGAGCAACATCATCAACAGCCTGGCCAAAGCAAACGGTTCAGTGTTGGGATAAAGTTAGAGAGACAAGCTGGAGAAAGAATATCAGAGGCCCCATAAACACAGCTGAGGAGTCTGGTCTTCAGTAGCTCCTTCCTTACCTAGATTAGAAGAGTGAACTTAGGAGGGAAAGAGGTCCTAAGTCACTTTCAAGTAAAATGTACATTAACTACTTCACAGTGTGGGGCCTCCATCCAGCCTAGGCTCCCAGTGCGGGTACTCACGGTTCCGGGGTATAGAGGGGGTCCGAGCCATGCCGGACGTACTGGGTGCAATGGAACACCCTGTAAGCCAGTCCTGCCAGAAAGTCTCGCGGACTCAGGTATCCAGCCACTGGCCTCACCGTGAAGCCAGATCTTTCTAAAAAGACAGCAGAAAAAACCAACTAAATAATAAGCCAGCAGGGCTTGAGGGCCCTAGCAGGGATTCCTATTATTTACAAGGATGTTCTGAAAACAAAATAATCAAGGTCCTAAAACTCTTCACAATTGAATGACATATACAGTTGACCCTTGAACCACACTGGTGTGAAGCGCCCAGGTTCATTCATATGTGGGTTTATTTTGATAAACACAGTAGGTCCCGTCCTCTCCACAGGTTTCACACTTGAAGATTCAACTAACTATGGATCAGAAAACCTATTTTCACGTCCCAGCTACATTTTCCCAACCACAGATCAAAAACACTGTGGATGGTTGAATCTGGGATGGGAAGGGCCAACTGTATGGTCAAATTATATGCAGATTTTCAACTGTGCTGGGGACCCCTACGTTGTTCAGGGGTCAACTTTACTGTTAATAGCTATCACACTTGTGCGGCCTGATTACTAAACTATGCTATCAAATGATGGTTTCCAGGGAAACAAGACATCTATGGAAATGGAAGGAAAAGTGAAAAAATATTTAAGGATTTAAATTCAGAAGCCAAGTTAGAACAAGAAAGCTCAAATACACAGGAGAAGATTACAATCTAAAGTGATGCTTACCAGGTATTAGCTGGTATCTTTCTAAAGTGTGGTCAGTTAACGCAGCTAATTCCCTCCCTTCCCTAGCATCGTAGGATCAGTTCCCAGTCCAGCCTTCTTTTGTCAATACCACCTAACTCCTTCATTCTGTATTGCGGTTTTCTGTGATACTGTGAAAACAGTCACATCAATTACCATAATCTGAAGAGGTACACTAAAGCTCTGCATGCTTTATTGGTTTGTTGTAAGAGGGAATAAAATAAGTAGAATATAATAAAACCTATGAAACTACTCTATGCTGCTGACTCAATTAGGCTGTGGATGGATGATCAGTGTTCCCAGTTTAAGGGCTACCCACTGCTTCCTTCTCATGAAGGCCCAGAACATTGACAACAGGAAGCTACTTCTTTCACAGATACCAGCACAGTAAAGAGCATAGTAAAGCCTCCCCTTCGGAAAACTTCCCCTCATTAGGGGAGCACCTTATAATGGTCAGAAACGGTTTAGAAAGACAACAAACCAATTAAGCTTATAAAACAAGTCCCCCTGGAGTATCTGGTGTCTACAGGGAAATAACCCTGTCCTCAGGCCTCCTCAGACCCCCAATTCTGACAGTATTATGCTCACTCCAGAGCTCTCATTTTGGATTGTTCCCCATTGAATATCAAAAAGATAAGTGTATTTTCATCTTCGATTTTACATCAGTTAGGCCAGTGTACCTCGCATGTGGGACATGAGTGGTGGTACACAGAGGAGTATTCTTTATTTTAATAGTTATATACTGTATTTTTATATAAATTTTTAAAATATGTATCTATCACATCAAGAACTTGAACTTGTAAATACCATTGCTTAAAAAATTTCCTTTCTCAATAAATTAGGTATTTTAAAAGTCAATCAGGTGAAAGCAATAGCAACCCGTACACTGACATTGTATTTGCTATGTGCCAATGAGGGACGCAAACTGCACTCCCAGTATCCAGGTCACCGAAGGTGGGGGGAGGTGAAAAACAGCACTAACAACAGCAGCAGCAATAATAGTAGTAACAACTAAGATTCTGCTATGCTTAACCTGTGTCAAACAATAATGTTAGGGCTTTAAGTTATATCAATTAGTTCTGCCTCCCTGAATCCATGCTATCCTACACACCACCTCTCATAGTAAAAATATTCATTTGGGAGACAGATATGGCAAAATCATGAGATGGTTTTCTAATTACTGGAGTTTGAGAAACAACGCAGTAAAAATCAACCCCCATATATGAGCGATCAAATCTGTGGTAAATATATAACATGAACATAACTCTGTGGCAAACAAACAGGGACATGTCAGAGGCAGGTCTATTAAGGAAAATATAATCTAGTTAAATAGTAACATAAAGTGAGTGGGGTGAGGTGGGGGTGGGCGAAGGGGGAAAATGGGGACTGAAAGAGACTTTGCTTGCTGCAGTAGGTGCACGATGCAGTGTGCAGATGATGTTTTGTTGAGTTGCACACTTGAAACATGTATGACTTTGCGGACCAATGTCACCCCCAAAATTCAATTTAAAAAGAACAATAATAAAACAATAACATAAGGCATTATGTAAGTAGGTGCTGATTCTCATCCTCATTCCTTCAGTAACGAATGTCTTGGATGGTGTTCACCCTCCCATCATGCTAGGTGTGGTTCTCAGTGTCAGAACGCGCCTGTCTCCCCTGATACACACATGGCCTAGAATGAATGAAATCAGAGCAGGGCAGGTCGTGCTGGCTGTTATGAACAGGATTCAGGGAGGTGGCAGGATTTGCTCTGAGTCTTGAGAAGTAGGTAGAACTTGAGTAGGTGAAACTGGGCTGACTTGTCTAGCAAGGGGCAGAGCCTCAGCAAAGGTGTGGAGAGCAGCTAGAACAGAGGGCCTGTGCAGCAGTCATAGCAGGAGACAAACGGGGAAAGCCAGGTCAGGGCCTTGAACCTGGGCTGAGCAGTTCACAACTTGACAGCATGAACCAGAGATCAGCAAACTAGGACCTGTCATCCAAATCCAGCTAGCTGCCTTTTTTTTGTACCTATGAGCTATGTATCCCTATGAGCTAGGGATAGTTTTTATATTCTTTAATAGTCACATTTCAATGGTATATAAGGACCTGCATAATAGCCTCAATTTTGCCTTAGCCCACAAAGCCTAAACTATTTACTATCTGCCCTTACAGAAGAGAAAGAAGAAAAAGAAAAGCTTGCCAACCCAGATAAAAACTAAGGGGAGGCACTGATACCTTCCAAGCAGAGATGCCAGGAAGAAAGTAACACTTTGGGAGCTTTATCTAGAAGCAGTGGACAGGAGAGAAGAGGGGAGAAGATACAGGCATCCAGGTTGAAAAATGAGGGGGACCTTAATTTGGGTCGTGGCACTGGAAATGGAAGAAAAGGACAGGTTCATAATGGGGCACAAAGCTGGAAGTGGCAACACTTGGAGACCATGGTAAGCTGAATAATGGCCGTCGAAAGATGTCCATGTCCCAGTCCCCTAAACCTGTCAATATGTTTCCTTATGTAGCATAATGTACACTGCAGGTGTGATTAGGTTAAGGATCCAGAGATGGAGCAATGGCCCTGGATTATTCAGGTCAGGCAGCTATAATGACAAGGGTCCTTAAAGAAGGGAGGCAGGAGGGTCAGAGTCAGAGAAGAGAGGGAGATGTGTGTCCTTGGAAGGAAAACGAGGATGTTGGCCAGGATGTAAGCTTGCATGAAGCCTTACCTTTCAGAAACACAGAGACATCTTCGAGTTGAGGTACATTGTCCTCCCTGTAGCCACAGTATTTAGTCAGCAGAGGGAAGTTTTTCAAATATTCCCGGCAAGCGTGCGTGGGATAGAGCTTGGAGAGCTCCCGGAATACAACGCCCCAAGTTTTAGTTTCTTCCTCTGTGTACTCCACCCTGGGGATGGGCTGACCGCTGGGCAGGAGAGAAGACAAATGGATGAACCTTGCTCTGGGTCACGGAGTTTAATGTATTCTGACCTTCATACCCACTGCAAGTCAGATTCTTGCAAAGTAGGGTAAGTGAGTGTCTAAGAGGATCCCATTAGTATTATTTTTTAAAGTAAGTGCTAACTTTCTAAACTCGTGTGTGTGTTCAGACTTCCATAGAAATGATTTGATTAAGTTACATCTTCACACATCCTTATGGAAATTTGATCAGATTTATGTTCTTACACTGAGATCAGTAACAAGTATGAGCTCTGGGTTGGAAGGAAGTTTAGGTACAAAGCTATGCTCTGAGAGCCTTATCTGCAATCACCTGACAACAAAGACAAATGAATGTTGTATTTTGAAAATAAAATTGCCTGCGGGTTCTCTTTGTCCCTTGTGGGGAACTCACTCCAATCTCCAAGTGTAATTTTAAAATTATTTGTTCAGTGAGCAAAATGTCTTAGAAGTACTAAAAGACTGTGCTAAATATAAAACTGAGAGTTTTGCAAAATAGGAATATTTATTACACATCATGCTGAGAGACGCAGGCATTAATCCCTCTCAGATGAGGAGAGGGTCCCAAATTTTTTCTGTGGTCTCTGTCACAATTGTTCAGTTCTACCATTGGATCTTGAGGACAGCTACAGTAAACAAATGAATGTAGCTATGTGTTTTCTTTAAATATTATCCATGTGTTTTTGAATTTTATTTTTCAATTAAAATTTACATTTGATATTATTTTGTATTAGCTTCAGGTACGTAACTACATGATCTAGTAAAAGTTTTTTTTACAAAAACAGGCAGTGGGCTAGATATGGCCCATAAGTAGTAGTGTGCGGGTGCCTGGCTTAGACTATTGAGAGGCGGCTCTGGATTGGAGTGGTCAGGGAGGGCTTCCTGGAGGAAGCACAACTTAAGCTAAGCTTTGCTGGCCAGGTACGATCTGCAAGTTCCCAGACAGAAAGAAAAGAGGGAACTAAATGCTGTTCTAACAGCAGCCAGCAGCGATGAGCGGGCAGCACGGCTCCTGAGCAGCCTGGGACCAGTAGGTGGAGGAGGGCTCCACAGACGTGAGCTTTGGCAAACTCTTGCTTGAGGGACCAGAATCTGAATTTAGCCTCTGATTAAAACACCTATTTGGAAAGTGAAATAAGGGTTTGAGGAACCCTCTCACGACATGCTCAACAGCCCCCTGCAGCACTGCCCTTGTCACTCATCTGCAATTCTGCCTCTGCAGCCAGCAAATATATACACACGAGATATGGAAGTCCAAACATAGACACATAAAACTAGGAATTCTGCTCCAGCAGCCTACATAACCCAGCCTGTAGCAGCAGCCACCACAAAAACCTGTGCACAGGCAGCCACTGCCGCTCAGGGATGTTGTGGGGCACCTGCCACAAAGTGGGAACAGCCCCACCCCCCCAACCCTCCACCCCACCCCACCCCCAGGTAAAATGGGGAAGGAGGACAACAGCAAGAGTGGGCTAGCGAACTGCCCCTGCGCCCTCAACCCTCTCCTTCAGTGTTCTCGCCAAAATGCTTTCTGCTTAAAGTTCAGGTCCAAATGTGGTTTCCACAACCTCTTTTTTTTTTTTTTTTTTTTTTAATTAACTGCAGTACATGAAGGATGAAGGAATAACACAGAGGGAAGGGAGAAATTAACATTTGTTTTTTCTAAGTAACAAGAGTAGGGTTTATACAAACCAAATTAGAACAAGATTAGCATTGTTTAAATTTGGCTGTTGGTAAGAAATAAAAAAAATTACAAGCTGACAAATATTTGCTGAGAAGATCAAGACCACTAAGACTTAGCATCTGTGATAAATTTAGTGGGAAAGCTTGAAATGGGCAGATAAAAATAGAAAGGCCATAAGGCAATAAATATAAAAACGGTTCAGAAAATTCAACAAAATCAATCTGAGTCAGGTAAGCCAATAAGGCTAATAAGGGTTGTGCACAGTCGGAAGGTTAGGAAAGCAATGAAGCTGAAACAATAAATGAAATACTGAGAAGCCATTTGGAAAGAATCATTAAGTCAAAACTTTTTCCTTTGATACCAACGTGCAAATGTGCAGCCTTTCAAAGAAGAGCTGGAGAGAGCCAACGGGAAGCAGTAGAGGGAAAACAAGCCTGAGTTAGGGTTGAAAGAACTAGGTATACAGATCTGTTACTTAGTAATGAATGTCCAGGTCACAATCCTGGTAATACAGATGGTCATGTGTATTCTCATTTGCTTCAGCTTGTTTGTCCTTCCTGCATAACTAACCGGTCTTCTCTTTTGAACGAATGGCTGAGGCAGCGCAGCACTGCTACCCTGATCGATTGCAGGCAAATCTGACTCCAGTCCTATCAAGAGATTTCTCCGCTATTCTCACCCCCACGCCCTGGGGACTCTTTGAGGTAAATGTTTAAAAATCAGCTTCACCGCAAAGTAAAGACTAGTTTTATCCATTTAATTTCTATTTAAAACATCTAAAATACAGAGAAAATAAGAAGTTTCCCATTTTTATGTGGTTAATACGGGTATAGAATAATAGCTCATCTTCGAGAGTTGACTATAGTGCCAGACGCTTTTTTAAGGTTAAGTGTTTTTATAAGAACGAACCCATTTGATTCTCACAGTGTCCATGAGGTAGACACTGTTATTATCTCCATTTACAGACGAGGAAACTGAGACTTCAAAGAGATTAAGCTATTTGCCTAAAATCAGAGTGCCAGTTTTAGCATCCAGTCAGTCTGGCTCAAGACTGGCTGTAGTCTTCATTGATTAGTACAATATATACCAATGAAATAAAAAATGTATTCCAGACACCTACTTATTTTCACATACCAAACTAAAATAAGGCTTATGGGTATGTGTGCTCCTATGTAAAAATCTCATATATAATTACGTGTAACCATGATGCTAGCATATAGTTGTAGGTCACATGATTTGTAGATACTTTCATGTTCATCTATTCAGTTGATTCTCTCAGCAAGACCAGGATGCAGCTTTGAGTTCCCCAACAGAATAAATGTGCTTGGGCAACAAGGAATGCAGGAGCTCCAGAGTTGGTTTTGTTTGTTTTTTTTTAACTTTGAAATCAGACATTTGGAAAAATAAAAATTGTGGTCATGGGGTAAATCAGAATCTATTGCACTTCTTTGTACTTCGGATTCATGGGGTTTTGTGAACTGTATGTGAAAAAGATGACAGAGAAGTATCCTGCACTTTTTAGGGCCTAGGATATATACCCACATATCATCATGCTCCTACCTGTGGATAAACGTTGTAATACATATATTTCACCATCCTAAAACACTCTTCTGGTCCAAAACTAAAGTCACTTAATTACTCCACGTTCCAGAGAAAGTCCCCAGAAGCTGGGGTCAACCATCTCCCTGAAGGGCTTGGTAAGAGGCAGCAGCAATGGCCCTGCCACCAACCAAGTCCTCTCGGACCACCCTGCCACTGCACACCCACCGACTAGTCTAACAGGGAACAAGAGATGCGTCCGATTGTGAGGAGGCCAAGGTTGAAGAAAAGGGTAAGTTCTTTCCCCTTTCCTAAGTGAGGAAGGCAGGCTGCGCCGCAAGAATCATTTAGAAGGACTGTGGATGCCTGAGAGAAGTGGGCTCTGGACCCCGGCTGAGCGGCAGGAGCACAGCAGGGGGCAGCAGTAGAGCAGCAGCTCTGGGAGCGTGTCTGGAAGCCTGGGAGTACGACACCCGGCAGGGAGGAGAAGGGATCCTTGCCATGTGTCGTCTGAAATCTGAGATTCACATGAATGTGGAGCCGGGTGCCCAGGGCAATCTAGAGATTTCCATGGGATCCGATGTGGCATGGCGGAGAGGAAGATCGGGAAGCCCCCTCCCCCACCCCAGTGTGCTCAGTTCTTAGGAGGCAGAAGAATGCCCGGGGGTCTCCATCACGCCTGAGGAAGAAGCGCTGAAGGGCAGGTGCCTGAGGAGTGTCCAAACTACAGCGTCCCCACCCTGAAGAAGAGGCTGGCGATGTGACCACTGACAAGGCCAAGGGGGGGGGGGGGGGGACAGGGCTCGTACCTGTGGGGGTGGAGGTGGAGGGAATGACCTTGCCCCAAAAAAACTACAAATAACATTATGCTGAGACCATTTCAACAGAGACCACCCCGTCAGAAAAATCTGTCTGACCCACGGTGAGCATGGCCTGAGGCCCACCTATGACATTTTAACAATGCTGTCCAAACCCCTCAACTCTCCCCCTCCCTTCTCTTAGGCCCAACTCCAAAAGAACTAGGTCCTAGAAGAAAAGAAACAACGTGCCCCGGAACCAGAGCGCGAATACGCACACAACTACAAATAACTGAGAAGGAGAGAGGATATATGTTGAATCAAGTTTGATATTCATCTTTTTTTAAATGAACAGGACTAGGTCTTAAATACCCAAATGAGACCATACTAATAATTGAAAATGACAGGAAATTAGACGTTGCTAAGAAACTAGCTTCCCAGCAGGGAAGCAGGATTCAACACAATACAGTTGAACGCAGTGAGTAGGGAAAATAAAACCATTTTATGTAGGCATAAACCCCAACAAGATGAGACTCCTCAACAAACTAATTATATGTAAACATTATCATTAGATCTCTAGGGAGTTCCTCCATTTAAATGGAATTAGTTGGGATCCAGAATTCTCAACAACTACCAAAATTATTGTTCACACATTCCTAATTCACTGGAGAAAAACAGGTACCACTCTCAGCAGCTTCTGTTCACTGCAGATTCTGCCCCCAAATGCTAAGGTGTTATAAACATGACAGGGACCCAGGACTCTGGAGATGCACTAGGAAAAGGACTAAAATGGTCACCATGGGGATGTGGGCTTGACAATGGGGAAAACTCTTTGGTGCACTATGTTACTCAGAGATGACTAAGAACGTTCTTTGAAAATACTGAAGGCTGTGGGAGGCATCTTTCCACCCTGTAAGGTTATATCCCACTCTTCCTAGAAGCAGGGGG